TGAATTCTTTTTTAGACATGACCATTCCATCATCAACATCATCATCATCGCCATCGTCATTGTTTACATTATGTATTCAGTGTGTTGTTCTGCGTCTTGAATAAATTGGTGTCTCAGTTGATTAAATAACCATTTTTTTGCATCAGCTCTTGCTTCTCTTGATGCGTGTAACTTTCGTCGTCTTAAGGCTTCGTTTAAGAATATTTTCGATCATCATTTTGGCGGCGATCATATCTACTGCGCAATTTCAGCGCCGCGATTATTTTTTTTTTGTCGGTTCCCCATGGAAGAATGAATTGGTTTTGTGACAGAATGGAAATGAAAAAAAACCATACAAACACACATTTCGAGCAGCCAGAAGAACATGAAATCAAAGCAGAATTACAGAAAATGTATTTTTTTTTCAAATTCCTCCACTTAATACTTTACTTGTTGTGTGTAAATGGGTTTGAATTGATTATTATTATTGTTTCGGTTTTGTCGTTTTCTCCATGCCTCCAATTTTTCAACGTGATTATGATATTGCGTTGTATTCTAAAAAGGCGAGTACTTTTTTTTAAAATCACGAATGAAAAAGTAAGAGTGATGAGGATTTATCGAATTAAAAACAAACCCATTTGCATGCGGCTCTAAATTTAAAAAAAACGGCTTGATTTATTCCAACCGCATAGAAGCCTTAATTACATGCCAGTATTTCGTTCATTTAAAATTGAGTTAAAAGATTAACATCGATTGAACACAGCCATTTTAGCTTCTCCTGTCTTTCCATAATAGCGAGAAAAAAATTATAGGTTTGACGCAATAGTTATAATCATATGAACTAATTGCGCACATGATAATTTCCCTGTGGTTGCCACTATTGAAAATTGAAATGAATGAATCAACGAAACAAACATTTTCGGAATTTTGTTTTCTTCTTCGTTTCTCTGTCTCTCTCGTGGAATGCAAGAGATGAAATATGAGATCGGTATTTTGTTTGTCATTTGAGAGTGACAATGCATTTCTGACGTCATTCACTCACTTTCCGTTTAATTTTTTTTCTCTTGTGTACGGTGTGCGCACATCCGTCAAATTGCAAGAATTGCTTTTTTGAGGCATGCGATCATGTTTTCGAGAAAATCGTTTATCTCTTATTTTGCGAATTTTAGTTCGTCTCATTTTCCAATGAAATTCGAAATGAATAAAAAAAAAATGAAGCCTCAATTGTCACAACTATGATTCCTCTATGGAATTATCGGTTTGAACAAACATTTGACCTGATTAAGAGCGATCACATTCATCTCCGCTGTGTGTTTTTTTCGCATCTGTCGTTCACTTCCCATTCATTCGGAGAAGACAATTGGTCTAGATAGTTTTTATCTATAAACAGACCTTCAAGTGTTGTTTACGTCTTTCGTGAGAAGAAAAAAAAACTAACTGAATGAATTCAATATAAATATTTACGATATCCGAAGCTTAAATGCCTCACTTTAAATATCTTTATTTGTATGTTTTTCCCTCGCAATGTACACGATCAATTATCGCGAATTGCATGCTGAAAAGTGTTTTATTCTTTTTTCCGTTGAACCAATCAAGTGCTCACGACGTCGATGACGATGGTGTGCAAACGGCTTCAATTACTTTAATGACAATGGGACGATTCGAAAACACTGTGTGCACTTCTTGTCTTTTTGTTTATGTCATTCAGTCACACGAATCAAAAATGCCTAATTCAATTTTCTACGAACTGTTTATTTGCGATTTTCGTTTATAACTTTCTTTTTCTTCTTTTACTTTGTTGTTTTGTTTTATTTGCACTACGGTATCTTTCTACTGCACGAAGAAAAGAGAGTTTAGTTGTGCAGTTGTGTTCTTTTATCCACCTCTCTGTTAAAGAAAGAAAAGAAGGAAGTGAAAATAAGTAAAAGCGGTCGATATTTATTGGGTTAATTGTACTGAATGAGCGAAAAACACACTCAAAGACATCCATTTTACCGAGTGAAATGCTCGCATTTATGTCTGTCCCCGTGTACAGAACGCATACACAGCCACTTTTCTTATGAATTTCATTGAAATCCCGGCAAACACATTTGCACAAAACTTTTCGATTAAATAATCGTAGTTTCGTGGTAAAATATATGATTGCATGTAACAAGCGCATCGGCATATACACAACGCAACTATATTCTAAAATGCTTGGTAATTGTGTTCAGGAATGCCATTGCTGCCGCCTCTTCTTATACGAATGTTTGGAACAAATTTTTAATGAACTACGCCATCGTTTCAACGTCATAATATGTAGCGTTGGTTTGCGTGCCGCGGCTCGTTTTCATTTTCCAGTGAAAATCACAAGCAATTTTCTACAAGAGCTTTTTAGCACGGTTCTAAAGTAGCACATTTCAAAGTGAAATAAACAACAACTATATACAACAGCATACGTAGCACCGAGCGAAGGAGTGTAAGGGAATTTATCGATTTTACATCCTGTGTGTGTAATATGATTCATATTTTATGCATTCTTTGCAGGGAGTTTCCGTTATGCAATTTGTTGGTGTTGGTGCTGCTGCTGGTTTTTTGTTTGTTTGTAATAAACAGCCACTCTGTTGCGCTGAAGAGCTCAGGTGAATGATGTGAAATGGGTGAACATAAATAAATTGACGTTGTATTTTGTTGTCAAAGTGAGATGAAGAGATATGATACACTTGGTGCCTAATGAAAGGCCTAGTTTCGCATCTCAGTTAAGTTTGTTGTTATGGTTGCACCATTCGACAGTAGAGCAAAGTGACTCAACTCGTGGTGGGCTATTTTTAAAGAGACAGGGCTTTGTATACGGTGTATGTGCACTTTAAAAGGGAATTGCCGTAGCACGAACACAACACTCATATCTATATCACTTGATACACAGTCTCGGTGTCGGGTGAATCAGTGAAGGAAACAGAGACACCGTGCCTCCGCCGAATTGATAAACAAAATTAGCAAGATGTTTATTTCGAACGCAAAACGATCAAATTTAACCGTAGGCAGAGAGACACTCTGTATTGCACACAGTTTTGCCATGTTTTTATTCCTCTCGTTTTATTGTTTAGATGTTTTCGCATTTCTTCTGCCGTAGATTACTTTTCAATAACACAGTGAGAGAGAGAGAGAGACAAGTGCGTCCTTGCTCCGATTTCTCGTACATTCGATGATGCTCACTCGAGATGTTGTTGTTAAGCGATTAAGAAAAAAACACCACATACAATTCAATTGTCAACGCGAACAGAACGGTGTATGGCACACTGGCGTGTATCGTTTATTCAGAAAATACTCTCTTACATACACATGCAACAATACGAGCGTCTCGTTGAACTATTTTTAGAATTATCTTGTCACAAGTTCTGTGCACACTTGCTGAGCACTGATCGAATGAACGATTAGGTGTTTAAATGATCGGAAGCGCAAGCGTTTGTGACGATTGATTGAATAAGGATGTTGAAATTATGGCTTTTGGATCTCTTTCAAATTCATTTTTGCTCTCACAATTCTTTTTTTTCATCTCAATTTGAAAGTCTCGAATGAGTAATTAATCGATTCTCTACCTTTCTCTCTTTCTAGGTATGTATATTATATGTGTGTGATTAACCAACAACTAGACTCTAGCTTACCGTTTGTCATCAATTTGTAAGTATGAATTTTAATGGAAAATCCAAAGTGCACCGAATGTCTTCGAGCTTAACTGGGGAAGGTGAACTGCAAAGAGAATTCTTGAAAAGCCGTTTGTATTTTAACACAGAGGCATACATTTGATTCTTTACTAGTCTCCTTTAATGTGTATATAATTCATTTGCACAGACATGCAAGCAAAAGTGTATCTATTTAAAATCCATGTATATGCGCCACGTCGATTTTTTACTCGGTTCAGCACGTTGAGCTGACTCAACGAAATGTAATTCTGCCTTTTTGATATTTTTCTCTTTTCCCTTCTGCTTCTGCTTCTTCTTCATTTTCACATCGGATCGTTGGCAAATCGCCACATTCTGTAATGTTCATTGTTTCTTTCATGGTTTTGCTTGTAGTAAAGAACACGGCCGAAGTATGCTCTTTGTTGCTTAATTCCTTTCCATTTTTCACAATTTTCTTCATTTTTTCCATCACTCTTACGTTTCGGTTTTCTTTCAGTTTTGTGTTTCTGTCGATACAGAGTCGCGCACACAAATACAAACAAACCCAAATAAGCACAAAAAGCGTAAATATCACTTGCTTTTACAGTTCGATGGCCTTCTTGTGAATTTTACTCGCGACAAAACCCATCCCGCCCCGTTCACATGTACAACCACACAACACAATCAAATGCGAACGTACATAGTTATAAGACCATGCAAATGTTTGATCGATGTCGACTTGATTTTTTTTGCCATTTTTTGCACACAAACACACTTGAACGGTTTGTTTTCCCATTGCACTCCGTTTTTTGCTGTTTTACATTTTTTTCACAGGATTCTACTTTTCAGAGTCTCACAATGAATGATTAATGTAAAATGTTTTATACTCACAGTAGCAGTACTAGGTCGATTCCTTTCAAAGACTTAATTATGGGTAGATTTTTCTACAGTATAACTTTTTCAACTTAGAACTTCGTTTGAATGAGAATAGTAACTGCGGATGAATCACTTTAAGGTGGAATTTTGAACAATTGAAACTTTTGAGAAAAAATCAAACTTTTTCACCGAGTCAACTGACCCAACTCAACGATTTTCCTGACCAGCTCTGGTCGACAAAAGAAAAAGAAAATAGAAAAAATGTAATTTTAAATAACAAAAAAAAAGTGCTTAATTCCACCTTAAAGCTGTTTCATCCCATTAAAATGCTCGAGTAGTGTGAATTATGATTGAGTATAAGTAGAATAGAGTAGAAATTCGAACCAAAATTCGTCTTCGAAATTTTTTTCAAAATCATTGAATTTGATTTTGGATAAGTACGTTTTTTTTTGTTTTTATACTTTATTTCTTTGTTTTTTTCTCTTTTATTTTCTTTCAAAACAGTCATGAGCTAGAATCTCCATTCTTTGTTCTTCCCTTAAACGAAATCACTTTAGAACCGAGCGAAAAATTTTATACAAATATGGTAATGCAAAATCCACTAGAAAATCCCACAAATTTAGCAACCGTCACAACTGAAAATCGCACAAATGACGCATCTACCTCCTCAAATTGTGTTGCACAAAATTTTACGCAATCAATGCCGGACAACGCAATGCGAGCCGGCTCCCAGCCACCATCAACATACACAACGCAATCGTTAACCAGTCCAATCAAAGGGATCATTCCACGCTTACAGCGCGAAGAATCAGAAGGGATTCCAATACCGGGTCGTGCACAAAGTCACGACGATATTCGTTTGTTTGGCACGGGCAGTGGCTATAATTCACCCAATTCGAATTATTGCATCAGCCCAAATAGTCCACGCGGACAGTATATGTACGGTTGTTCACCGGTCGGAATGAATTCATCGCCACCGATCAATTATAATAGCAGTTCGTATTTGACAAAAGGTGGCTACAGCGTTGCACGTCGTGTACTCAGCCGAGCCACATCGCCACTGTCAAGCAGTGTGCCCGGCAACAACACCTACATCAATGCACCCAACAAATTCAACGCCAGCACAAACAACCGAAACATTGCTGTTAGTAACAACTGCAGCAGGTCAGACCAAATGTGCCCTTTTCTCTTACACACGCAAATATCGTTCTATTTACCTTTTTTTGTGATTGTTGCAAACCAAGAACTTAACTCTGCTATTCGAATTTCATATTTTGTTTATATCATCCGTTTTTTTTATTTATGCTATTTTAACTGCCATCCATCATGAACATGTGAATTTTGACGATGCACGGAATTGCATTCGTTTCAACCAACGGAAAATACACGGATAGTGTACCTGTTTTACATTGAATGTCGGTTGTGTGTCATTTTTTTAAAGCATCATTCTTTACTCATTCAAAACCGTGCAATGGTTTACGGAAAGTTGTATAAAATTATCAAATAGACTAATTTGTAGATATTTATACTGTGAAAAGTGCATTCGTTTGTTTTGTAATCTTTGCTCGTTTTTTCTTTTCGCTCGTTTCATACTGTCGCTCGTTCATTCATTTATCAAGCATTTTCACTTTGAATCACCCATTCAAATGACTCCTTTGAAGGATTTGTAATCATCGTTTTTATCATTTGCACAAAAACAACGACTTTCACATTGTGAAACGGATAAAATTATGAATTTTCAGCCATAAAAACGCACTCGACCGTCTCTAATTACAAACTAAAGACAATCTTAAATGGAATGGGTAACAAAAAATGTATATTAAGATTTACAAATTTTATAACATGCTCACGCTCTTTTTCTCTTCCCCTTTGTGTCTCTTTCTCTCTATTTGCCGAAAATTGCACAGCTGTAAAATGTTTACGCCAATTGTCGTATGTCTTTCATTGCGCCCCAAAAAAATGACATCACTTCTTTAGTTACTTCTATAAATGTGGCCAGCCCATTAAAACGCAATATAAAACGTTTTCGAAAACGTGCATAAAAACCAGGGCGAGAGAGGATATATGTGTGTTTTCATCGTTTCGTTTCAATTATTATTATTTTTTTTCGCAACGACTTTCATACTAGCATATGTTTAATCATACACAGCGAACGGTGTGTCCACAATCCACATATACATCGTGTTCAAAGCGTGTTTTGAAGCTTCACAGCAAACAACAGAACAGGTCCAAAATTGTATCGTGATTTTTCTCTGCATAAAAAAATCGTGTGTTTTCTTTCTAAACAGAAAACAAACGAACGAGCTAAAGAATCATCGGGAGAGAGGAAAGAAATAAAATCGAATCATAAATTTCTATTCAGATTAAAATGAAGTTCGTCTATTTACTATTCCTCATTATCAAAATGGAAATAAGAAGCGAATAAATTAGAATAAAGTGTTTGTATGCGCGTGAATGGATTTCGAAAATCGGCTTATTTATCGTCGTTTTGCGATAAAAATGAATTCCCTCACATACACACACACGATCATTTCTTCTTTTAGAACCCATTTTTCTTGTTTCTCTTTCAAAAAATGTGTGTAGCTGTTTTGGTTTGAGGAAAGAGTAAATAAAGATCGTCTAAAGCAGGAAAAACAGATCATAGTTAATAAAGAGCCGCAGAAGTTTCGGAACATAGGCAAAATATCGGTATAATCTGGTTTTTCTTCTTATTATTCCAATCTTTCCTACACGAAAGTAGTGAGTAACGAGTGAGGCGGCGTTTGCATGAGTAGCAAAATGGAATTGATGATTGGTACGAGGCACACGTGCACCAATACACACTGTGTCTAGCGATATGATTTTCAAAGTACTTTCCGCTACTCTCTGTTATCGCATTTAAATACACTTTAATTACGCGTTACATTTTTTTTCATACCAGCCATTTCTCTCCGTGCATTCAATTACGAAATTCGACATGCCTGAGAAATTGTAGTTTGTGGTTTTGAATATGTGTAATCTTTACGTTTTTTTCCTTCATTTCTTCGGAGCGATAAATAAATTTGGCAACGCGTTGAATTTTTGTTTTCTTTGATGAAACACCCGAAAAAAAGCGAAAGATTATGTGTACATAAACTCTTTTGTTTGACTTCGTTTTTTATATTCCTGATAAATTGATGGCATTAAATACAACACAAGCGAGTGTTTTTAAAATCCTTTAAATTCAAGTATGCGGCCTCTTGTGCGGCTTGTTCGCGAATTCGTTTGGGGGGGGACTCGAGAAAGACACTTTCATTATCATCGACTTTGTCATTGTTATCGCAGACAGCGGCGGTTTTTTATTATTATTATGTTTGTTAGACATTCGAATTTATTACACGTTCTTTTAATACCTGGTTTGGTATGTGTGAATGTCTTCCCTATTTACGTTCACTTAATCTACAGTCATTTGTCTCTGTTGGCCATATTTGGTGCTAGTTCTAGTTGCGTGTTCATGAGACATTTACTTTACTCTCTAAATATATCTATGATTCTACATATTGAACTTCTCCACGCGCTTTTTTCATAGTATGAAAATCATACGCATTTTTTTCCATCATACTCGTTGGTGTTTGATATCATGCTCTCATTTTTGTTTCGTACTGTGGACTTTTCACACATTTATGAAGCTTTCGCTTGATTATTATGATTGTACTTTGCTCATCACAATTTGTTTACACCATTTCAATGAGCCACTTGCATGTGTGCGATAGGCATATCGCTCCTTTCGGTAATATATATTTCACAATTTTTTTTTGTTTTCTGTTCGCTCGCATGCCTCACAAGAGGAATTGCTTATATATTCCGTGTTGTCGCGTGTATGTGTACATAAAGCGGCAATCTAGAGTATCGCATCAGAATGAGTGAAATCATCAACAGACTTAGCGATACGCCGCACAATATTTATTTTATTACGAATTTTTTTTTATATTATGTACAAAACATTTTTTTCTCTCTTCTCTTTTGCATTCTCTCTTTTCTTTTTTGCATTTTTTTTAAAACCATTTATTATAATTCTTCTTTCCTCTTGTCAATACTTTTTTTGGATCCGTATTTTGATGGGTTTTGTCTTTCTGTCATGAATGTTGCTTGGATTTTGATTCGTTCGTGTTTTTTCTCCAAGCTCTTTTTTCTTCCTCTCATTCGTTGCATTGTTATTTAACCCTTTATCACATATCGGTTCCTAAAGTAACCAGATACGCCAGACGCTATAGCTATGAAACCAATGAATATTTTTGCATTCTTGTTTGGAAACAAATGTAGGGAATTGAACTAGCTTTCATTTGATACTTTACATGCTACAATTGGCTGGCTGAATGGAAAGTTTTTTCTGTTCATGTACTGCTGTAAAAAAATTGCGAAATTATAGCAGAATTCCACATTTTTCCTCCTCTTATCTTGTGGGTTTGTACCTTCTTTTCAATTGTCAAACTAGGACTCGTAGGACCAAAACACATCAATTTAACTTTCTGCATCATTAGTTTTATGAAATTTAATTTTTTCAAGCTTTTATAGTGATTTGACACTTTTGACTCTTTTCCGATTTTCTCGACAAATACGCAATTTTTCAAAAATCCAAGTATGAAGTCTTTCTCTATTTATCATGGCACAAAACATAGTGGCGAAGCGTTACGACTACGCGTACCACTACGAACCACTACGTTTAGGGAATTAGTGAACGTAGTACTACGCGTACTCGTAACGCTTCGCCACTAGGGCACAAAACATATATCAAAATGATTCAAAAACAAAAAATTGTGCATCAAAGGGTTAATCACCGGAAAAAATGTCCATAATATATGGACCATATATACTGAAAACGACAACAAAAAAAGAAGAGTTGATCTGTTTTTTTTGTGTCCACAAAGTCATATAATAAGATTTAGGGCAATTTGCCGACAATTTTTGTATCCTCGAGAATTTTATGGAAATTATATGGATATTCTGGGTTATCACAGTGCCAAATCGGAAGAGATGATGACTGACAGCAGACAATTTTATGGTTAACCATTTGAATTGGATTGTTGATTTCGAATATGTCCTTTTCAATTAGAAGGTCGTTTGCAAGCGGCTTTTTTTTTCTCTCCAAATCACATATTATTAATGCCAAATTGCATAGTGTATTGATTCCAATTGCACACATTCACTTTTTATACACCACTCCTTTCACCATTGCGCATTTCGTGATTCTATCTGTTGTGTTCATATTTTTTTTCCTGCATTTATTTTTCTTTGATTTCGTTTACCTAGACATTATCGCCAGCCATCTTGTCACTTGTGTACAGCCGTCATATTTTATTTGCCTCTTGAAATGCTACCTTAATCCCTATGATCATACGCGTGAATCTGTGCTTGAGATAAATCCACTGTCAACGAACAGCACATTATCTTCCTGTAATTCAGAATGTGTGTCGTTGTCGTACCTCGAAGCACACTGAATAATAATTAATCATCATGTTTGCCATGTAAAATTTATTTCATTAGAGACGAAAATAGAAATCGCATCGTGTTCGTCATATTTTTGTGTGTTTTGAGAGAGTACGCTTTTCTGTTTCCCGTATTTTGCCCCGTCTAAATACACACGACACAAATCCTATGACATTGTTGTCGTTATCAATGATAAAAAATATCGTTGGTCTTGTGAATATTTTTGGAACTTTGTTTTAGCTTTTGAAATTTATGTAGATAAACAAATTTTGACTTGTATGAACTTAGTTAACTTACTTTGTATAAAACTTGAGTTATTTTTTTCAATTATTCTAATTTCCAACCATAATACCCTTATAAGGAATCAATCCTGCATTGACCAACTGTGTTCCTTTATATGAATATTGTTTAACAATCTAGACATTTATGAACCAAGTTCACTGAAGTATTACGTTGAGCTATGTATTAACCATATTCGTTTGTTTTTTTCTCTCCTTTCGTTGCAGGTATGTAGATGTGTGTTATGTTCATAATTTTTTGCAAGTGTTAAAAAATGCAACTATTTTGACACCCAACCCGGTGTCTCTCGATTATGCGTACCTGAGCTTTTGTTGAAAAAAGGTGGTAAGTACAATATGAATATTTGTTTCTTCTTTCATTGGTATTTCCAATAAAAGGTGCTGAAATTCCCCGTTAATTGGCCCAACAATTAAAACGTC